AAGAGCGAGATTCTGTCTCAAAAAAAAAAAAAAAAAAAAAAATTATTATTTCACATGTGCTTTATATTTTATGTTTTGATTTATTTTTAATCAGCAGGGGTTTGTAATTTCAGCTTTTAGTTACTCCTGCTGTTAAGTATTGAATGGACAAACACTACTTAATACAGCGTTACACTTCTTTTGAAATGTGAGGAACTCTTTTATTTATCTGTGTGCAAATAACATGTTCCAACACTACTGTTAAGTATTCTGTTAAAGTACAAATCTATCCCTTAGGAGGGGAGGGTACACTCTACAAGAAGTTTTTTCCCCCAATATCTATGGGGTGGTTATTTTTGTAATCCTGTTTATGGACGAAGCAGGGAAAACACAGTCATCTCTAGGGCAATGATAAGAGCTAACGTGTGTTGAGGGTTTACCATGCGCCTGACAGTATGGGCACTCTGTATCCTCTACCTCCATCCTCACAGAGATCCCGTGAGGAGGACGGTCCAGTTACCACCATTTTACAGAAGAGTAAACAGGTTCAGGGAGATTCAGTATTGAGGCCCCAAGCCTGGAAGTTATCCTCCATTTACCTTTTCCTCTTAGGCCCCTCCTCCAATTTATTAACAAGTTCTGTCAGCTATAACTCCAAAATATATTTTTAAAATATGACCTTTTTTCCTACCCTAGCTCAAGTCCTCATTATCTTTCTTGCTTGGATGTCGCATCAGCCTCCAAACTGTCCCCTGGGGCCACTCTTACCCTTAGTACCATCCTCCTTCCACACAATGGGCAGGGTGGGGTTTTTTGTTGTTGTTTGTTTGTTTTTTGAGACAGGGTCTAACTCTGTTGCCCAGGCTGGAGTGCAGTGGTGTGGTCATAGGTCACTGCAGCTTCAATCTCCTGGGCTCAAGTGGTCCTCTTACTTTAGCCTTTTAAGCAGCTTAGGCTACAGGTGCACACCACCACACCTGGCTAATTTTAAATTTTTTGTAGAGATGCAGTCCCGCTATGTTTCCTAGACTGGTTTTTTGTTTTGTTTTGTTTTTTTTCTGAGATGGAGTCTTGCTCTTTTGCCTAGGCTGGAGTGCAGTGGCGTGATCTTGGCTCACTGCAACCTCCACCTCCCGGGTTCAAGCGATTCTCCTGCCTCAGCCTCCTGAGTAGCTGAGACTACAGGCGCCCACCACTATGCCCAGCTAATTTCTGTATTTTTAGTAGAGACGGGGTTTCACCATGTTGCCCAGGCTGGTCTCAAACTTCTGACCTCAGGCGATCTACCCACCTTGGCCTCCCAAAGTGCTGGGATCACAGGTGTGAGTCACCATGCATGGCTGCTAGGCTGGCCTATAGTGGTCCTCCTGCCTCAGTCTCCCATAGTGTTGAGATTATAGGCATGAGCCACCACTCCTAGCCCAGAGTGATCTTTCTAAACTGTATATCAGATGATGTGCTCTCCAATAGCTTCTCTTCATATTTAAAATAAAACCCAAAGTCTTTTCCAGGACTTACAAGGCCTTACATGATCTGGCTCCCCATTGCTGCATGCAAACTCTTTATTCATTCATTCAGCTAATATTTACTGAGGTCCTGCCATGTGCCAGACACTCATAGCTGCTAGCATATTGCTTCTGTACAGAGCTCACATTCTAGTGGGAAGAGACGGTAATCAAAGAAACACAAAGTATGTCAGGTGGCGATAAGTGGCATGGAGAAAAATGAAGCAGGAAAGGAGACCAGGGAGTGCTGTGAGGCAGTGAGAGGCCACCATTTGTAATAGGATGGCCAGGAAGACTTTCCTGCGAAGGTGACATCTGAGCAGAACACCTGAAGGAGAGGAAGGGGTGAGCCAAGTAGACTTTGGAGGAAGAACATTCTAGGCAAAGGGAAAAGCAAATGTCAAGGTGCTAAGGAAGAGGCGAGTTTGGCATGTGTGAGGAATAGCAAGGAGGCCGATGTGGCTAGAAGTAGAGAGCGCAGGCAGAAGTCAGAGATGGCTTAGCCATGGGTTGGGGAAAGGGTAGACCTGTAGGAATCTGTTGGCTCCCAACCAAGGGACTTGGACTAAGTGGGTGGGAAGCTGGGGAAGGGATGTAAGCAGAGCAGTGGTATGATTGTGTAGAAGGATGATGTGGCTGTTGGGAGACAGGCTCGGCATCAAAGACAGAAACAATAAATCATGGTGGAATGGGCTAGAATGGTGGCCACGGAGGAAGAGATAAGTGCTCAAATGTTGTTGAATGAATAGTGAATAAATGAACTCGCTCAATGATGGAGCCAAAATGCACATACAGCAGTCTGACTTGAGTGGCCTTGCTCTTAGTAATGGTGAACAAAAACTAGGAGAGAGGGGCTGCTGCAGCCCCCTTGGAACTTTCCGGTTCTGCGATTTTAGCAGCTTCCCTTCTGTGGGGTATGCAGGGAAGAAGGAAAATACTCCTATAATGGAAACTTTATTGGAAAAGGCAGAAGGTAGAAAAACATCCGCATCTGGAAGGACAAAAAGCCCACCAGGCAACCAACCAGTCAATCAGTAACAGTGTACAGGCTTGAGATTGGGGTATTGATCAATGGCCACTTAAGCCACACACAATCACTATGTGTGATTTTTTTCCCTCCAAGAGAATGCATTAAAAGGAATGCTTTGGAATTAAAAATTAAAATTTTTAAAATTACCCCTTTTAAAAATAAACTGAATAATTTGTAAAACTGTGGAGAGTATGATGATGAACACAAAGGCTATGACTTTAAGTCACCTTTTCTGGGAAAGCAACTAGTTTAGAAGATTAAACTATGCAAACATAAGGCAAAGATTCTGGGCCGGGCACGGTGGCTCACGCCTGTAATCCCAGTACTTTGGGAGGCCGAGGTAGGCAGATTGAGACCATCCTGGCCAACATGGTGAAACCCCGTCTCTAAAAATACAAAAATTAGCTGGGCATGGTGGCATGTGCCTGTAATCCCAGCTACTCAGGAGGCTGAGGCAGGAGAATCACTTGTACCTGGGAGTCAGAGGTTGCAGTGAGCTGGGATTGCGCCACTGCACTCCAGCCTGGCCACAGAGTGGAACTCCATCTCAGAAAAAATAAAAAAATAAAAAATTTTTTAAAGATTCTGAACCATCCATTCTCTGGGTTGCACTTAAATTTTTAGCTTCATTAGGGATGACTTGGAGCTGCTATGCTTGTCATGTAAAATATATTCCTCCATGTTATTTTCCATTTGCTAATCAGTTGGATCCATTTCAGTCAAACTGTGCCTTTGGAGACTTGGTTGCTTCTTTTGGAAGCTTTTTTCAAAGTTTCTTTCTTTAGTTGCTTCTTTCAAACTAGGTTACAGAAACAAGAGCTGAATTAGACACACAGCTGCAGAAAGCAGATTTCTATTTTCAAATTTAAGATGGAAAATATGAATATTGAGAGTATTTCTTTCATGTTGAAATCAAGCAACTTTCTTGGTAAAGTTATATTTCTTAATGCAGTCAGTAATTGGTGAGTGAGGTGACCACATGCCCTGAGGAGGCAAGTAGGCCCATCTAGAGCAGAAGCTGAGCTCGTGCAGATGGACCTTTGACCCTAGCTCTGTTCCTCATAGTTAGATGACCCT